TTCAGTGATTGAGATAAATATTATTAACATGATTGAAAACGCTCCGGCGAGCTGTGCTGTGGTAAACACGGAACTTTTCCTTAGCATGAAATGGCTAATAATCAAACATGCATGAAGCTGTTGTAGCAGGGTTCTTGCACCATTTCAAAAGTAAAATTTAATGCTTTTTAAGACCTCAACCAATATAATTTAAGACCCCAAAATGTCACAATTTCTTTGGAATACGCAATTTATTCCCTCCTACAATGGAAATCCAAACTTTTTTTCAAATTAGGAGACAGTATAATAACTGACAATAATCCTTCCAACACTGTTTGGCCAATATAGATGTAAACAATCAAAGTGATTCCTTTGTGATGCAGAACAGAGCCAACATAACATACATAAGATTGGATTACACTAAACAACACAATGCATTGCGAATCGGGGAACATGGCAGCAAAGACTCCACGTATGTCATCATTAGATTTAAATGAATTGTGCCTCGTCACAGTATGGAGAACCCACAGTACCTCTGCCTCTACCTTGGGTGTCTGGTGTTGAAATGAAACCTGTTACAGCCGACTGAGAGGTGGCGTCTGAACTTGTAACGTCGTTGCAGGGATTAACCTGGCCCCGCTATGGCTAGCTGCTGTAACGTACCGCTGGTGCTTTCCTCCTTTCATGTGCGACTCGACGGCTTTGAGCCCCATGGTCCCTAATGAAAAGGTCTTTTTGCGTAGTTTACACATTGCCTCATTGTTGTTTTCAATCGGCGCCAACCCCCTCCTAAATGCGTCCTCTTCCATCCAAATTTGCACTTCCCCATCTTCTTTGCATTTTTAACCTCACATCGACAACCGCGTAATGGCGACACGCAGCCTGACGTCAGCGTCTGTAGCCGACGTACCATCCATCCATCCATTGTCAAACCGCTTATCCTGCACACAGGGTCGCGGGGGGGCTGGAGTCCATCCCAGCCAACTTCGGGCGATAGACAGGGTACACCCTGGATTGGTCGCCAGCCAATCGCAGGGCTACACAGAGACATACAACCATTCACACTCACATTCACACATCTACGGGCAATTTAGAGCCGACGTACCGTAAACAGCTATTCAATTGGGCAGACTCATTTCGCACAACACTAAATTAATCAACTATTAGATGTTTACGATGCGCCACTGTGGTTTCTCGTCGGCATTAAGCGCACCGCCAAAAAAGTAATACCTACAGCAACTTTACGTGAAATCTAAAGACAATTTAACACAAATTTTAATTTAAGACATTTTAAGACTTTTTAAGGACCCGCGGGAACCCTGTGTAGCCTATCTACTTTTACTTTTTACTTTAATTCATGTATATGTATTCAATATATAGTCAGTAGTCAGGAGCGCGCCCACCCACAAAGCAGATAGTCGCCGCAGTTTAAAAAAAAAAAAAAAAATTGTAACACATTTGAATAGTTGTTTTTAACAAGATGAATATTTGTTGACTCTACTCTACTCTATTCCCAACAAGCATAATGCACTTTTTCTTCCTTTAAAATCACACACAAGTACCAACCTTGTGTGTCCGCAAAGCCAAACAACATTCATCAAAAACACTGCTTGTGGCTTTTACAGGGTGCCAAATATCAACGGCACATTAGTGCTTGGATGGCAGGAACAAGGGCCGTCATTTCTTAAAAGCACTTGGCAAACAGCTTAAATCATTTTTAAAAAGACAATAGGGTTTCTGGACATGGTGATGACAAAAGAAAAGTACATGTGTCATTGTGAAAGCTCTCATGAGTCCACAACCATGAGTGGTGGCTCTCAAGCTGCCAACTGTAAGCTGGAATGTTCAATCATTTACATTTTGACATCAGTATGTGGGCTTGACATTTCCAAGAGTAAACTCCCCAAGGAGGGTGAGCAATATGTCACGCTAAGGCTTGTTTGGATGTTCCTGATGAGTGTCTCTGTTCTTTTCAGCAAAAGCCTACAGGATGTTGGGGTCTCCTGTTAAGCATGTCAAAAGGAGTGCTAACAGTGGTAGCATCTTGCCCTCTAAACTCCTTAAGTAAAAGAGGGATTTGATCAACTGTCTTGGAAGAACATTAATGCACTACCACTTATGCAAACACTTGACGGCTATCTCCGTTTTATGGTATATCTGTTTATAAGATGGGAAATGGTTCCAACCTTTTTCTCCAGTATTTCTAGCTGCTCTTTGTAGAAGCTGGATATGCTGGCCAGTTCATTTTCTTTCCTGCTCAGCTGTTTTTCCTGAGAAAGGGAAAGAGAGTAGAAGATGAAAAAGAAGAGGATAAATAAATACTTTTTTGTATTATGAATAACAGCTGTTTAATGTAAAGGTTTACATTACTGTAGAGGTTTACATGGACACATGACAATTCACTACACAATACACTACTACAACCTGTGTAGCCTGTGTGCTAACACTACATTCTGTGTTTAGAATGCTGTGTTTAGACTGCCCGGCAAAAAGGTACAGGTAGTAATTGATAGCTATAAAGTGGCTGGAATTACATAAAGCAATGGCAGAAAACATCCCATTCACTTCTTAACTTATAAGTATGCCACACATATGTTAATGCTGAAGGGAGAAGAAAGGACACAACATGTCGCTCCCACAATAGAGGAAATATGAGAAATGAGAAAAACTCATACCACTTACATAATAATAATAATAACTATAATTCAAAGTCTAAATAGCCTTATCAGCAGATGCACAACCACTTACCAAAATTACAGTACAGGCATGTACCATATTTAAGCTAAATGAGAGCTAAGCTACATAGGGAATATAATACATATTTTCTATAGCAAAGAGAAAACAAAAAAGATTTTTTTTCAATAAACAGATTACTAGCAGAGACGTTTTGAAGGCAGCAGGATAAAGGATTATATCTTTCCATGCAGTGTGTACTCTACAACTCTATGGCTGTATCCAACATCAATGATGCTTGATGGACGACTATAACAATATGTGCAGTACATCACACCTGCATCACACAGTAAAACAAACAAAAAATACGGCTATTTAACAGCTGGTCCAAAACTTACAAAACCTATCAGATGGCATGCGACTGAGACTGCGGGGGCAGGGCCTGACATGGCGATGATGGCATTAGGATGAGGCGAAAGGCTTTAACATGCCCACTGAGCCAGCTTTGACCGGCAGCGAGATGGCAGACCCGCAGTCTGGGCCGTGGAGCAGCAGCATGCAAGCAGAGGCAGATAGAAGGAGAGGTGGAAAAGACGCACTGTGAAGACAAGTTGCCAGCTTCAGAAAATTGACAAAGAAAAGACGAATTATTCCTTTTTTGACTCACTAGAAGACATCCAATGGGTCACGCAATGAAGACACCTTCACAGTGTGTCATTATCGTTATCACTCGTTACAATATAAAGGCACATATGTTAAACCGGCCTGCCGGGACGTCCAGTGCGGCCCGCCGGATGACTTTGCTATTGTGAGAATTACAGAACGGTCCTTACACATGTGCGGTCGATATCGATTCCTCCCCCACGGCTGTCGTAATGTCCGCCACTCCCCCCACAAACACGATTCGAAAAAAAGTAATAAGGAGCTATTAGTAGTGAAAATGCAAGTTCATACACAATCCCCAACATTACATTATCACATTGTTTATCAGCTTCACGCTTCACAGGAAAAGCAACATCAACACGTGTCACTCGCTCCACGGTATCGAACATGCTAACTCTCAACAGAGACGACAAAGAAGCAAGATGGCTCCCTTGTTTGCTTCTTCTATCATCAGTCCAAAATTGTTGATGCAATTGCTTCTTTCTCCTCTGTGTTGGGAGTTGCACATGCGCAGTACTAATATAGGCATGTGCCAGGGGAAAGAGTAACGTTAGCCAGAGCTAGAAAGAAAAAAAAACGTTAGCATTTTGGCAATATTTTACACTAGTACATTGGCGAGGTGTTTGCACCGCAGTGATGTCCTGAAAGGTATTTAGTACTGGTCGAAAGGAATACCTTGTATCAGAACAACTCTCCCAACGATCCTTTACCATGCAATCAATTCAATGTCTTTACCATGCAATCGTAATATAACAAAGAGCTTTCCTCTTATGGAACAGAAAAGCAATAATTACGCATTTGGCATTGTCGCAGCATGAATTTGCCATTGTCGCAGCGGGATGCCCTCAGCCCTAAGACATGGGGCAGCCTCTATACACGGAAACATAATATCAAATCTATGTTCAGTTCACTCACTAAACTGAATGGCAGCTAACTGGATTGAACTGATGCACATGAACCCCTGCGGCTAGCTATTGGATCTCAGTGAATCTGTCAGAAGTTTGGTCATGCTGTGGAGAGTATGCAGCGGTTCAAAGGAGGACTTCAACCGCTGTACGGGGCAAATCGCATACTAGGGCCAAATACACAAAAGACTAGGCCACATGGGCACAGGATGGTTGAATTATCTCCTATTGAAAGGATTATCAATAGGGCACTCATGACCACACGCCGCTTCTGAATAAGCGTAATGAGTGAAACAGTGCAGTACGAACACCATGCGGTGCACCAACACAATGAAGCTGGCTGAGGGTGAGACAGAGAAAGGCAGCAATAGGGCAGATTCATGTCCGAAAGAAATTGTGGGTTTTACGAACACAAGTACACACACACACACACACACACACACACACACAGCTGCGTTAGGGGTGTAATGTTGACAGATTGCTATACCAGAGTTGTGCATTAGTGAGTGTGACATAGATCAGGTGGAGCAACATCATCTTCTCAGGATGATCTACTCATGATGGCTGTGCTTCTCTTGCTGGTTTGGGGAATACGGGAGCGATGCAACGCACAGACTGACATTACATTTGTTGTAATCCAATCTAATCTTATCCTAACTTAACAGGCACACGCATCCCCAAAGAGCACATCGGCAAATCCCTGTGCTATACTTAATGCGGCTTTTTCTTTCTACAGCGGCCGTTTGATGCTTAAGGTTTGTGTGTGTGTGTGTGTGTGTGTGTGTGTGTGTGTGTGTGTGTGTGTGTGTGTGTCCGCGTTTGTGTGTAAAATCACCTCTGCTAGCAACACAGATGATGTGTAATTTTCTAGCTGAATACCTCCAAAAGTGTTGTTGTGTGGAATGGTGGCGGCGGCGCACTCGCCGCCTCGCTTTAATAAACAATGAAAACATGACATTTGAATAGAATGGAAAGGGAGAGAGAAAGGTAGACAAAACAGTTTAAATGTAAGGAGGCACCAACAGTGGCAGTGTTTCCTTACCCAGGCATCCACATCGGCTGGCTATGAGGGAGAGAGAAGCAGGAGTTAGTGAGGATGTGGTTGCGAGGGTGTGAGGAAGGAACAAGGCAGGACGAGATCAGACACAACCAGGGGGAAGGATAAAAGGCACGTACACTATAATGAGGAAAGGAGTTAAGTGAGGATAAATAAAGAAGCAGTCAGGGATTAGGCAGATGATGAGAGAACATACATCAGAAGGAAAGAGATAACAGTAGGAGTATGCGATAAAGGGAGCAAGGTTAATACAGCCGTCACAGAGTAATCAACACCGCTATGTACAAGTGACCATTGAATAACGGATACGTGTTAGTTAGAAAACCTGAGATTCGGCAGTTGTTTGGCGTATGTCGTTTTGGTCTCAACAGTGTCATAATACATCCAACTTTCCCCATCATTCATAGAGCCACCAGATAACAGACCGCTTTGCTGAGGTTAGGAAACACATTGAATTGTCCTTGTTGTTATTATTACATTTTTCTGCCAGTATGCACAGGCACAAGTCAATTTTTTTCCACATACAAAACACTGGGCAATATTTCAGTTTTCCAACAAAGCCTTTAAATGAGTCATCACTATTGAAAACCTACTAGTGAAACATCCCTGAGATATTTATTACCTGTTACAGACTTGAGAGAGTTGGTGCTTGTATGGCAAGTAAAGAGAAGGTATTGCTTTTATAAAAATTCAGAAACACAATACAAAAAAAATACATATAATATATATATATATATATATATATATATATATATATATATATATATATATATATATTATATGTAGTTGTATTATATGTAGCCATACAAGGGCCAACTCTCTCTCATTGTATATTATATATATATATATATATATATATATATATATATATATATATTAGCAGATTTGTGTTTAAAAGGCAATGATGTCATTAAAAGATGTAGGTCTTAATAGGCCAGTCAGAAAGAAGAACTTGCAGCTTTCTATCTGGTTTTCTTAGTAATGTATAGCCCTATAAATCTGATTCTTGATTGAATCCATGTTTGTTAATCAGATAATCAAGTAGTTTCTCGCATCTCACAAATCTCACATGCAGCATTACTATGAATTCAGATTTTCTTTAAAAAAAATCAGTAGAATGTCCTTGTAATTATCAATTTAGACGGTTCAAACGCGTATCACGATATCTCTATATAAGATTTCTCCACAATATGATTCCATTGAAAGATGATACATTATTGGAATTGAGTTGTTGCCCAGCAATAACCCCCCCACATGTGATTAGTGAACTGTTAGTTGCGTTCATATCATATGAACCCCAGTGCCCATGATTAAGCTTCTCAGCCTAGTGGTGTACTGTATGTGCCATGATTTATTTATATGTGAATGGAATTCAATTTTCATTATGACCTGAAGAAGATCCAAGTATTATCCAAACATTGTCTTCCAACTCCAATGTATGGCAGAACACTATACGTTCCAACAATTCTATGACCAAATCAATCATGTTCGCTTCAAGTATGTATAAGGCAGAGCACTGGGACACTGTTTTGTGTTTTGTCTTGTCCACTCAAACCAAGGGCTCCCAGTCCAGTGTTAGGAACAGAATTGAAAGGGATAGATTAGAGTGTGTTGGGGGGGGCTCCGATGTAGCCATGCCTCATAAAAACACCATTCAGTTAAATGAGGTGAACTCACAAAGCTGGTCGCTGGAGTTGGTGTGGTGTGGCTGTGTGTGTGTGTGTGTGTGTGTGTGTGCGCGCGCTGGGTAATCTGCGTAACGAATACAACCAATGCCATCTGTTTAACCTCCGTGCTCTTTGGTGGCAGGCCCTAAAATGAATGTGTGTGTGTGTGGAACCCCACAGAGTGCTCACAGGAGTGTGGAGGTCCCATTTCCATAGATGATAGACTTTTGAAAGGAGGTGAAGGGGCTTGCCGTGGTGCAGATAAAGACAAACACACACTCAAGCAATTTGGTGGAGTCCATGGGCCGTAACGGACAACAGCATTTCAGGTGCATCCACTCATTCGTGTTTTTTTGCAGCTCTGAGCTCCCTAGTGACCACCAGTCAGCAGCCTTGGCCTGCACATTAAAGGTCTGGATCAACTGAGCCAGCAAAACATTACCAGGAAAGTCCTCCAAATAGACAAAGGCTTATATATTTCCAATTATTTTTTACCAAGATAAGGCTCAAACACAAAGCATTAAAGGCATTATTAAATCAAGTTAATTGGGGTCCTTCAGTAAACATAAATAACACCACAGACTAAATGGCTTGCAGGTGTCACATATGGATATGCAGAGGATGTATTGAACTGCAGGTAACTATAGCAACAATACTTGCCTCTGATTCTACCCCACCAATAAAATGACTAGTGAAACTTACATGGATATTGGAGCCGGATGAATACAATCATTAAATTATGTGAACAATAACCATCTTTAGAAATACCAGTCTCCTCCAAAAGGAGCCAGAGTTGTCAAAGAACTCTGACCATTTCTGTAACTTAACAAAACTGACTGCCGATACTCACACTCACTTCCTGCAGTGATAGGTCGGCCATGAAGGAATAAGAAAATGGCCCCGGTTTCAAGCTCGCACTGAAGCTCTAGCTTTTCATTAGTTTCAATCAAGAATGTGAACAACGGACTCTTGCACTGTGAAATCCTTCCAGTATATACCTATATTTTAACAATGTTTAGGAAGTCAATGGCTAACTATTAACTCCACCTTCCATTGTGGCCGTTTTACAAATCCAGAAGTACAGTTATAAGTTCAGTTTTTTCCTACTCTTAAAATACAACCAATCATACAGCCTAAATGGGTGCACACCAGCAGAGACGGACCGGGCTAAGTCTCTCCACATAATACAATTCATAGGAATTTCAGAGGAATGTTTTGTTTTTTAAAACCACTTTCATGACATAAAGCTATATGTTCATTGCACGCCACCAGAACTGAAGGAAAACTACAAAAACTAACATACATGGTAAAAGGACAAAATCATTTACCAAGATGAAGCAACGATGAAACTTCTTATCTCTCTGGTTAAATGGATCTTTATACATTGTATTATCTATGTTTGCTTGAATCGTCTTTTCTGTGGTTGTTCCACATAGGTCACCAGATGCACCTATGTCTAAATCAAGCATGAACTATGGTTCATGCTTGATTTGGACTTGAAACTCAGTCTACCAACACAGTGTGTGTGTGTGTTTGTGTTTCCTTACATAACACTGCTGTGTGTGCGTGCGTGCAGTGTGGGTGTGCAGATGAAATGACAGAAATGTGACAAGATGAAACCTTTTGGTCTCTTAACACCATCTCACATAGTAAGATACGCTTCCTTGGAAATCAATTATGTAAATATGGAATTATGCAAATTGTGCATTTGAATAAATCTGTGGGTTTGAGGGGAAAAGCATTTTGGTGTGGTTTTGTACTTTGAGTGAGGTTGGAGGGGGGGCAGAAACAGAGAGCAAGCAAGAGAAAGAACGAGAGAAGACAAAGACAGACAGAAACAGAGAGTGTCAAAATGAGGATTAGGCTGAAGAAGGTCACTGGCAGACAGTTTGCGCAGTTACACTCCTGATTTGGCTTTTTAATTAGAGAGAACCAGAGGAACAGACAAATAGAGGAAAATAAGAGCTAAATCACAGACCCCGTCATAACTATGGAAATAAGTACGGTAAGCATATTCATCACGTGTGCCAGGAATAAATGTCATTGATACAACTGAGTGCTTTCCCTACCGCTCTAGTTTGGTCGACGATGATCCTTAGTAGAACGCCAGAGTGCTTGTGTGGCTTTGCCCTCAAAAAGGCACACTGAACTTTGTTATGTTGCATTACTTTAAAAAATAAAGCTGACATGCTTTAAAAATGTGTTTTACTCATGACATAATCAGAGAACTTGGGGATACTTAAATACAGCGAAACACCGTTATCCCTTAAGTATTTACTTGATGCCTGAGCAACTTGAAAATCACAAAGCACCTCCTGTCTTCCAATATTAACTCTAACCCATCTGCATCAGACCTCAAATGCACTTTTGGTAGGACAGTGATCCAAACACATATCCATGAATCATATCGCCTGTGCCAGTTATGTGCACACAGGCGTGCACTAAAAAATACAGACACAAACATGTACGTGGCACAGAAAAGATTCCAGTGGCATGAATTGGTTAACTCGAGCTTAGTTTGCTCATTAAATGTGCGTTGTCGTCTCATCGGGGGCGGGTTAAATGAATTAACACTTCCCCATCAGCCGGCTTTCACACCGCAGACAGTCACACAGATAGATAAGAGACGGGAAAAAGGCGGAAGAAGAGAGACGTCGGGCAAACAAGAGGAATGGTTTCGTTTGGGGAAGATTTGAAAGGGTGCAGGAAATGAGAGAAGAAATGAAAAGGAGAGAAAGGGGGATGGAGAGAGATTGTCATTTGCCCCATCTCTCTCACTCAAATATCTTCACAGTTTGCCAAATAGAGAGAGAGAATAAAGTTTTATGTCCAACGATCTCTTCATACCGCCTTGTCCACTCTGGAGGAATTTCCTCGACCTTCAGACTCTGATTGGGTACAGCTATTCTAAGACCGCTTCAAATCCGAAACACGTGTCACTGACTGCCCTTTGTATTAGATTTCTTTTGTTTGAAATCTTAAAATTGAAAAACAAACAAATAAAGAAATTCAACAAAACAATATCCATAAAAATTGCAGCACTGCTACAACCAGCAGAAACAGTCTCATTAATGAATGCATTTCAGTAACCGTAAACTATTTTTTTTCAAAACAAGATATATATTTTACAAATAAGTTACATGACAACCTGCTTTTTTGTGTCTATATTTGCCATGAAACACGTGAAAACAATGTTCAGAATCTGAAACGTAATAGCGTCATATTGGACATAGAACCCGTGACCCTTTTTTCTCGACTGAGATGAATAGAACCTTAAGCGTTCACGGTTCCAACATAAATCCTCATTCCAATCTGAGAACAAGCATCTGGGAAATATTA